GTTGTAAGAAACTTGACTGATTGCATGTTATTGCATCCCTTGATGTTGATCGCTGCTCACAATTTCTATCCCCATATCGGTCCAGACTGGATTATTTACAAGATGCCGCCATATAGTTCGCGTATTGCTAACTAGAATAAACAAACAAACAAACAAACAGAGCGAGTGAGGGGAGGAGGATGTTCCACTTTCTGGGGTATCCTAGCAACAGGGGAAGCCATTACTGATCTTCACAAATATGGAAATCAAAACTGCATGTTCTATGAGAAATTGTGCCTTCACCAGAATCTGTTCACAAAGGCCAAAAGGACATGATAATTACAGAGGAAGCTAACATAAAACAATCAGTCCAGACTTTACTGAATTCTTTATCGTAGCCAAAACAGAAGCCTGGTAGCCATGGAAAAGCATCATCGAGAATGAACAGGTTTGGTTACTCTATGTTCCTCCATCGACCTTGATGGGGTCGATGTGCGGTGCAGTGACGTGTTTCCATGTCTTCAGCTAATGAGTGAGTGAGTTGGGTTTAACGCCGATTTTAACAGAATCCCAGTTATATCACAGCGTTCTTCAGCTAATGACATAAGGCTGTGAAGAATTCACGGAAGTCACGTGTCCTACTCTGTGCATCAGCTTTGAGCAAAGCCTTCCGTTGCCGGACACTGAAGCAGTGTGTAGAGTAGATACCACAAGGCCATGGCAAATGTTGCACATGATGTCAAGCAAGAAATATCGCTGTTTAAGTGACGTAAACTGAGTGGACATTGGTCTAAGTACTTGCTAGATTCCCTCTCACTTGATTCCCTCATCAACAACAGACATCAACAATGGTGACTACTCCACAAAGTGCCCGTAGAAACTTCATGTACACAAAAACATATACACGGGGATGGAATAGACACAAAATGGAATAGACCCTGTGTGTCTATGCACCCAACATGTACATAACATCATGGTGAAGGGCAAGTAAAGTCAACACATCAACTTTGCAGATTTTAATACTTAAGGGCATTCTTAATCACAAATGCTTGACCAAGATTAAGTTCTAGAAATGGAAATAGCTTAAAACTGAAGAGAAAAAACACCACCGGGGTTAGAACGGGTTCTCGGCCACTTGGGCTAAAACTGGTTATCCGCCCCTGGGCTGAAACTGGTTCTCCGCCACTGGGGTTAAACCGTTTCCCTGCCACAGGGGTTCAAACTGGTTCTCCGCCACTGGGGTTAAACCGTTTCCCTGCCACAGGGGTTCAAACTGGTTCTCCGCGACTGGGGTTAAACCGTTTCCCTGCCAAAGGGGTTCAAACTGGTTCTCCGCGACTGGGGTTAAAACAAGTTTTCCGCCACTAGGGTTAAAATGGGTTCTCCGCCACTGGGGTTACAAGAGGTTCTCTGCCACTGGGGATAAAATGGGTTTTCTGCCACTGGGGTTACAATGGGTTCTCTGCCACTGGAGATAAAATTGGTTCTCTGCCACTGGGGTTACAAGAGGTTCTCTGCCACTGGGGATAAAATGGGTTCTCTGCCACTGGGGTTACAATGGGTTCTCTGCCACTGGGGATAAAATGGGTTCTCTGCCACTGGGGTTACAATGGGTTCTCTGCCACTGGAGATAAAATTGGTTCTCTGCCACTGGGGTTCAAACTGGTTCTCCTCCACTGGGGTTCAAACTAGTTCTCTTCCACTGGAATTACAATTGGTTCTCTTCCACTGGGGTTACAATTGGTTCTCTTCCAATGGGGTTACAATTGGTTCTCTTCCACTGGGGTTAAAATTGGTTCTCTGCCACTGGGGTTACAATTGGTTCTCTTCCACTGGGGTTAAAATTGGTTCTCTTCCACTGGGGTTACAGTTGGTTCTCTGCCACTGGGGTTAAAACTGGTTCTCTTCCACTGGGGTGACAATTGGTTCTCTGCCACTGGGGTTAAATGGGTTCTCTGCCACTGGAGATAAAATGGGTTCTCTGCCACTGGGGTTAAAACTGGTTCTCTTCCACTGGGGTTAAAATGGGTTCTCTTCCAATGGGGTTACAATGGGTTCTCTTCCAATGGGGTTAAAATGGGTTCTCTGCCACTGGGGTTAAAATGGGTTCTCTGCCACTGGGGTAAAAATGGGTTCTCTGCCACTGGGGTTAAAATGGGTTCTCTTCCAATGGGGTTAAAATGGGTTCTCTGCCACTAGGGTAAAAATGGGTTCTCTGCCACCGGAGATAAAATGGGTTCTCTGCCACTGGGGTTAAAATGGGTTCTCTGCCACTGGGGTTAAATGGGTTCTCTGCCACTTGGGTTACAATGGGTTCTCTGCCACTGGGGTTACAATTGGTTCTCTTCGACTGGAGTTACAATTGGTTCTCTTCCACTGGGGTTACAATTGGTTCTCTTCGACTGGAGTTACAATTGGTTCTCTTCCACTGGGGTTAAAATGGGTTCTCTGCCACTGGGGTTAAAATGGGTTCTCTGCCACTGGGGTTAAATGGGTTCTCTGCCACTTGGGTTACAATAGGTTCTGTGCCACTGGAGATAAAATGGGTTCTCTGCCACTGGGGTTCAAACTGGTTCTCTGGACTAAGCACAATATCACACTGCAGACTGACTGACCTGTTTGGGACTAAGCACAATATCACAATGCAGACTGACGGACCTGTTTGGGACTAAGCACAATAACACACTGCAGACTGACTGACCTGTTTGGGCCAAAACACAATATCACAATGCAGACTGACTGACCTGTTTGGGACTAAGCACAATATCACACTGCAGGCTGACTGACCTGTTTGGGACTTAACACAATATCCCACAGCAGACTGACTGACCTGTTTGGGACTAAGCACAATAACACACTGCAGACTGACGGACCTGTTTGGGACTAAGCACAATAACACACTGCAGACTGATTGACCTGTTTGGGCCAAAACACAATATCACACTGCAGACTGACTGACCTGTTTGGGACTAAGCACAATATCACACTGCAGACTGACTGACCTGTTTGGAACTTAGCACAATATCACAATGCAGACTGACTGACCTCTTTGGGACTAAGCACAATAACACACTGCAGACTGACTGACCTGTTTGGGCCAAAACACAATATCACACTGCAGACTGACTGACCTGTTTGGGACTAAGCACAATGTCACACTGCAGACTGACTGACCTGTTTGGAACTTAGCACAATATCACAATGCAGACTGACTGACCTCTTTGGGACTAAGCACAATATCACAATGCAGACTGACTGACCTGTTTGGGACTAATCACAATATCACAATGCAAGTGACTGACCTGTTTGGGACTAATCACAATATCACAATGCAAGTGACTGACCTGTTTGGAACTAAGCACAATATCACAATGCAGACTGACTGACCTCTTTGGGACTAAGCACAATATCACAATGCAGACTGACTGACCTGTTTGGGACTAAGCACAATATCACATTGCAGACTGACCGACCTCTTTGGGACTAAGCACAATATCACACTGCAGACTGACCGACCTGTTTGGGACTAAGCACAATATCACACTGCAGACTGACTGACCTGTTTGGGACTAAGCACAATAACACACTGCAAACTGACTGACCTGTTTGGGACTAAGCACAATGTCACACTGGAGACTGACTGACCTGTTTGGAACTTAGCACAATATCACAATGCAGACTGACTGACCTGTTTGGGACTAAGCACAATATCACAATGCAGACTGACTGACCTGTTTGGAACTAAGCACAATATCACACTGCAGGCTGACTGACCTGTTTGGGACTAAGCACAATATCACACTGCAGACTGACTGACCTGTTTGGGACTAAGCACAATATCACATTGCAGACTGACCGACCTGTTTGGGACTAAGCACAATATCACAATGCAGACTCACTGACCTCTTTGGAACTAAGCACAATATCACACTGCAGGCTGACTGACCTGTTTGGGACTAAGCACAATATCACAATGCAGGCTGACTGACCTCTTTGGGACTAAGCACAATATCACATTGCAGACTGACCGACCTCTTTGGGACTAAGCACAATATCACACTGCAGACTGACTGACCTGTTTGGAACTAAGCACAATATCACACTGCAGACTGACCGACCTGTTTGGGACTAGGCACAATATCACACTGCAGACTGACCGACCTCTTTGGGACTAGGCACAATATCACACTGGAGACTGACCGACCTCTTTGGGACTAGGCACAATATCACACTGCAGGCTGACTGACCTGTTTGGGACTAAGCACAATATCACACTGCAGACTGACTGACCTGTTTGGGACTAAGCACAATATCACACTGCAGACTGACTGACCTGTTTGGGACTAAGCACAATATCACATTGCAGACTGACCGACCTCTTTGGAATTAAGCACAATATCACACTGCAGACTGACCAACCTGTTTGGGACTAGGCACAATATCACACTGCAGACTGACCGACCTCTTTGGGACTAGGCACAATATCACACTGCAGGCTGACTGACCTGTTTGGGACTAAGCACAATATCACACTGCAGACTGACTGACCTGTTTGGGACTAAGCACAATATCACAATGCAGACTGACTGACCTGTTTGGGACTAAGCACAATATCACACTGCAGACTGACTGACCTGTTTGGGACTAAGCACAATATCACACTGCAGACTGACTGACCTGTTTGGGACTAAGCACAATATCACACTGCAGGCTGACTGACCTGTTTGGGACTAAGCACAATATCACATTGCAGACTGACCGACCTCTTTGGAATTAAGCACAATATCACACTGCAGACTGACCGACCTGTTTGGGACTAGGCACAATATCACACTGCAGACTGACCGACCTGTTTGGGACTAGGCACAATATCACACTGCAGGCTGACTGACCTTTTTGGGACTAAGCACAATATCACACTGCAGACTGACTGACCTGTTTGGGACTAAGCACAATATCACAATGCAGACTGACTGACCTGTTTGGGACTAAGCACAATATCACACTGCAGACTGACTGACCTGTTTGGGACAAAGCACAGCCTTGAGGAGTCTCTCCAGAGGTTCTGTGGTGTCCTTGAAGACGTCCACCATGAGATGCAGCAGGGCCATGTTGACATGCTGCTCCAGGTGACAGAACTCGTCCAGCATCGTCTCGCAGACCTCCCCGTGCTCCCTTCTGTAACCACGGCAACGAAGAGTTGGCAATCACATGAAATGCATTAATCAAATTGTTTCATATTCTGGGACACTGTATCCTTGATAATCGAGAAGAACACCTGGACCCATTCACTACCAAGGCCACACTTTTTTAATTTTACGTTTCACGGATTTATTCAAACATATATTTATTTATATGAAAGTCATTCTGACGTGGAGTTAAAACTGCAGCTGTCTTCTTGAATCACAGATAGTGATGTAGACATGGAATTTATACAAAATATTTTATAATCTATAAGAGGGTCTATATTACAAGTGGGAGACGTAATGAAAATAAATATGTTAATGTTTAATATATTTCTGATCCAGATGCTTTTCAGTAGGATGGGTGGGTCTGGGAATGTGTGGCCTTAGCAGCCAAGGTTAGCTGTGGGTACACATCTTGGTCTCTCTCACCCGCAGTGAGTTAATCAAAAGAATAAATAAACGGCTTGTGTTTCCATGGCATTTGATTTGGTAAGGAGGCAAATCTTTTTTTACATTTTTTCTGAGCAGATTTACACAGATGCACAATGGTTTTACATTTACATCTTGATAAATGCAAAAATAATTGAAGCCAATTCTTAATTAAACATTAACTACCTGTGTGGGCCTTCACATCAACCTGTCATGGCAAAATAAATGAAATACAGCTCAGGTGACACAAATATACATCAGTCAGTTTTACCCCAGATCAACCAGCAAAAACTTATTTTTCCCTTATATATAGGCAGTTATAAACTAAGCTTACCGCTGACAAAAGTTTACAACACCCACAATTAATAGTTAACTCATTCGTCAGACTAATGAGTAAAATCACATTGAATCATGACTTCAACAAAAGCAGGCCCCCTCTAACTGTATCTGACTGCCAGTCTCTGAAAGGTTTCTTGTCCACATAGAAGTCTCACCTGTGGTGACTGCCAGTCTCTGAAAGGTTTCTTGTCCACATAGAGGTCTCACCTGTGGTGACTGCCAGTCTCTGAAAGGTTTCTTGTCCACAAAGAGGTCTCACCTGTGGTGACTGCCAGTCTCTGAAAGGTTTCTTGTCCACATAGAGGTCTCACCTGTGGTGACTGCCAGTCTCTGAAAGGTTTCTTGTCCACATAGAGGTCTCACCTGTGGTGACTGCCAGTCTCTGAAAGGTTTCTTGTCCACATAGAGGTCTCACCTGTGGTGACTGCCAGTCTCTGAAAGGTTTCTTGTCCACATAGAAGTCTCACCTGTGGTGACTGCCAGTCTCTGAAAGGTTTCTTGTCCACATAGAGGTCTCACCTGTGGTGACTGCCAGTCTCTGAAAGGTTTCTTGTCCACATAGAGGTCTCACCTGTGGTGACTGCCAGTCTCTGAAAGGTTTCTTGTCCACATAGAGGTCTCACCTGTGGTGACTGCCAGTCTCTGAAAGGTTTCTTGTCCACATAGAGGTCTCACCTGTGGTGACTGCCAGTCTCTGAAAGGTTTCTTGTCCACAAAGAGGTCTCACCTGTGGTGACTGCCAGTCTCTGAAAGGTTTCTTGTCCACATAGAGGTCTCACCTGTGGTGACTGCCAGTCTCTGAAAGGTTTCTTGTCCACAAAGAGGTCTCACCTGTGGTGACTGCCAGTCTCTGAAAGGTTTCTTGTCCACATAGAGGTCTCACCTGTGGTGACTGCCAGTCTCTGAAAGGTTTCTTGTCCACATAGAGGTCTCACCTGTGGTGACTGCCAGTCTCTGAAAGGTTTCTTGTCCACATAGAAGTCTCACCTGTGGTGACTGCCAGTCTCTGAAAGGTTTCTTGTCCACATAGAGGTCTCACCTGTGGTGACTGCCAGTCTCTGAAAGGTTTCTTGTCCACATAGAAGTCTCACCTGTGGTGACTGCCAGTCTCTGAAAGGTTTCTTGTCCACATAGAAGTCTCACCTGTGGTGACTGCCAGTCTCTGAAAGGTTTCTTGTCCACAAAGAGGTCTCACCTGTGGTGACTGCCAGTCTCTGAAAGGTTTCTTGTCCACATAGAAGTCTCACCTGTGGTGACTGCCAGTCTCTGAAAGGTTTCTTGTCCACATAGAGGTCTCACCTGTGGTGACTGCCAGTCTCTGAAAGGTTTCTTGTCCACATAGAAGTCTCACCTGTGGTGACTGCCAGTCTCTGAAAGGTTTCTTGTCCACATAGAGGTCTCACCTGTGGTGACTGCCAGTCTCTGAAAGGTTTCTTGTCCACAAAGAGGTCTCACCTGTGGTGACTGCCAGTCTCTGAAAGGTTTCTTGTCCACATAGAGGTCTCACCTGTGGTGACTGCCAGTCTCTGAAAGGTTTCTTGTCCACATAGAGGTCTCACCTGTGGTGACTGCCAGTCTCTGAAAGGTTTCTTGTCCACATAGAGGTCTCACCTGTGGTGACTGCCGGTCTCTGAAAGGTTTCTTGTCCACAAAGAGGTCTCACCTGTTGTGACTGCCAGTCTCTGAAAGGTTTCTTGTCCACAAAGAGGTCTCACCTGTGGTGACTGCCAGTCTCTGAAAGGTTTCTTGTCCACATAGAGGTCTCACCTGTGGTGACTGCCAGGTGGGGTCTGCGGCAGGGACCGGGACAGCTCCAGCATCCGCCCTTTGACCTGCAACACCTACAACACAAACCACACATGAGAGGAACGACCTTATGCTGGGTCAGTGGAATTGGTCTAAAACAAGCATGAATACCTAATACTCATATCCCCCACCAATATGACATGTCGGATGTGTGCAAGGCATTAGCTCTCCGGAAACAAGCACTACCGCTATTTTCAGTCTGTCAAAAACCCAAACCATCAAAAGGCACCAGTTCACCACTAGCCCTATCTAAGTTTGGTTAAGATATCTCTTATGGTTTCTGAGCTGTGCTTCGGAAATGAAACGTGAACGGACGGATGGATGGACAGCACCCATTCTTATGTCCCCCTTCCACTTTGAGGCGGGGGATAATAAGACCTATCATTACATTATAGTGCTACTACTGGATCCAGGTTATACTGAAGTTAGATTTACATATATAGCTGCTTAGAAACGTGTTTCAGTCTTATCACAGCGTGACATCTATATGCAGAATGGAAGACTGAACTGATACAGGTCTTAGATGGTAACCACTTTGTGAAATGTGACTAAATCATATGATCATAGGGCCCTCAGGGATACAACTCTGCACAGTGCCTTTAATAATGGACACCCATCCCCAATTTGCCAATATTGAACAGGTTTTTATCTCAGACCAATACAAAATTGATGCAAAAAATATTCTCTATCAATCTCAATTACTGGATAGTTGATACACTCACTCTCTGACAGTTTTGAATGATGAGGTCACGGTAGTCGTCTCTGCACAGGTGAGCGACAGCCATACTGTGCCTCACCACGCCAGCAATCCAAGTCTCAAAGTCAGGGTGAATTACCTCCCTTGATTCCTCTGCCAGAGATTCCAGAATCTGTAGCATAAACGTGGCAGTGGGATACTTTGTGGGTTTGAATTAATCAGAGCATGTGTACTAGGATGAACCTCATTAGTCATGTGGACAAAGCGTTAAACTCTGATCAGCTCAGTGGTTTGAACCCAGTATGACATGGGATTCTTGGGATATTTTGGTCACTGTATCAATTATAGTGTGAGTGAGTGAGTTGGGTTTAAGGCCGCTTTTAACAATATTCCAGTTATATCGCGGCGTGTCAGCTTAATGTGGGAGGAAAGCCCGAAGTGATGCAGGTCTAAGATGTTTACCACTTCAGTGAAACCCACGAGCACGGGTATGGTGCTGACAAACCTAGAAACATAATTGGGGCCAACCAGGATTCGAACCCACAATCATAGGTTTCTGGCGTGCCCAAGGGACACAACTCTGCACAGTGAATCGCGGTGCCTTAGACGACTGGGCCACCCATGCCCCCCGTATCAATTATAACAAAGTTAGAATAAATATAGTGTGTAACACTGCAGTCTGCAATATTCCACCAATATCACAGGAGGACAAACTGGTGGTTAATATTGTAAGCAATGTTCAATGTTGTCTCGCATCATGACACATCATGTCCACTGATAACGGGACAAACAAAGAGCAAAAAGCTACATTTTACATTAGTGTATTGAATGCAATGGTACAACATAATGCCAAATACTTAATAATAAATTTAGAACTAACATAAATCTCAAATTTAAACTTAATAACATTGTTTTCCCATTTTGTCTGTCACGGAACTTATCGTAGATAAATTCCTGGTATCTTGTTTACTTGTGTTTGTAGAAAGTGAAAACTTACAAAGTCCACCCTGGAAATAAAATACCCAGGTTCTTCAATGTTCAGAGTTGTCTCCCTTGTCTGTTTACTCTCTAGTGCCTCTTGAATGTCTGACAGAGTTGACAGGATCTGACCAATCATGGCCTCCTTCCCTGTCTGGAAACAACAAATTACCGTTGTGGAAGTGAATGACGTATAATGATGCAGTCTGTTTATATGGAAGCTGTAGCAGTATGGCAGGGAGCCTGGGCAGAGCCCTTGTATCACCATTAGCGTGTTACTGAAGAGCTCAGATACCATATACTCATATTCAGAAACTACTGAGTCTCACTCACTAACCTTAGTCACTCACTCACTCACCTTAGTCACTCACTCACTCACCTTAGTCACTCACTCACTCACCTGTCACTCACTCACTAACCTAGTCACTCACTCATTCACCTAGTAACTGACTTACTCACTCACCTAGTCACTGACTTACTCGCACATCTAGTCACTCGCTCACTCATTCACATAGTCACTCACTCACTCATTCACCCAATCACTCACTCACCTAGTCACTAACTTATTCACTCATCTAGTCACTCGCTCACTCATTCACATAGTCACTCACTCACTCATTCACCCAATCACTCACTCACCTAGTCACTAACTTATTCACTCATCTAGTCACTTGCTCACTCATTCACATAGTCACTCACTCACTCATTCACCCAATCACTCACTCACCTAGTCACTAACTTATTCACTCATCTAGTCACTCGCTCACTCATTCACATAGTCACTCACTCACTCATTCACCCAATCACTCACTCACCTAGTCACTAACTTATTCACTCATCTAGTCACTTGCTCACTCATTCACATAGTCACTCACTCACTCATTCACCCAATCACTCACTCACCTAGTCACTAACTTATTCACTCATCTAGTCACTTGCTCACTCATTCACATAGTCACTCACTCACTCATTCACCCAATCACTCACTCACCTAGTCACTAACTTATTCACTCATCTAGTCACTCGCTCACTCATTCACATAGTCACTCACTCACTCATTCACCCAATCACTCACTCACCTAGTCACTAACTTATTCACTCATCTAGTCACTTGCTCACTCATTCACATAGTCACTCACTCACCTAGTCACTGACTTACTCCCACATCTAGTCACTCACTCACTCACCTGTCACTCACTCACTCACCTAGTAACTGACTTACTCACTCACATAGTCACTCACTCACCTTAGTCACTCACCCAATCACTCACTCACATAGTCACTGACTTATACACTCATCTAGTCACTCACTCACTCATTCACATAGTCACTCACTCACTTAGTCACTGACTTACTCGCACATCTAGTCACTCACTCATTCACATAGTCACTCACTCATCTATCGCTGACTTATACACTCATCTAGTCACTCACTCACTCAGCTGTTACTCGCTTACTCATCTAGTCACTCGCTCACTCATTCACATAGTCACTCACTCACTCATTCACATAGTCACTCACTCACCTAGTCACTCACCCACCTATTCACTGACTTATTCACTCATCTAGTCACTTGCTCACTCACTTGCCTAGTCACTGATTATTCACTCATCTAGTCATTCACATAGTCACTCACTCACTCACCTAGTCAGTAATATATTCACTCATCTAGTCAGTCACTCACTCACTACCCTAGTCACTGACTAACTTACTCACCTTGTCACTGACTTATTCACTCATCTAGTCACTCACTCACTCACTCATCTAGTCACTCACTCACTTGTCCAGCCACCCCCTCCCCCCTGACTCTACTCCTACTACCTACCTGTGCCTGTGGGTTGTCGGGGTACTTGAGGTATGTCTGTATGGTAGTGTTGAGTCCAGACAGAGACTTGCGGAGGACGGTCATGCTTGTTATCAGCTGTTCTCGATGCTGGGAGTTGATGACCTCCTTCTGTCTCCGCCTCGTCAGAGCAATCAACGACATGACCGATTCTGTTAGGCTCTTTAATACATAATCATTATTAAAACAAAAACTCAGCAGTTACCATGCACAGTTACTAAATGTATACGTATCTACACAACCTGCTAGCTCTTTACCAATTTTCCTCTACAATTCTTTAGGTAAACTTTATCATTTTTATTTAAATAAACATTTGCAACAAGAGGCAAATCACAAACCTTGAATGCTGATACAAGTTCTTTGACACTGGTGACTTTTCCAACAAGTTTGACCTTGACCTTGGTTTCACCAACAGCTGCCACCATTTTCTTGACCTCCGCATTGTCAGAAACAAGGAGAACCTAGAAGGCATTAGACATCACATCATTTAGCCATTGCAAAAAGCTTATATAATTAGTGGTGTAACGATACAACAATACAGTATTATCTCGCGATACGAAGCCCATAATGTAACACATCGATTAATGAACCCTGTATCGTGATACATACGATACATTACAAGTATTATTCGGTAAAAACTCATGAATAATAACAGAAATTGTTCAACAACCAGTTTATACAGATTCTCCAGTACTTCCCATTTGGCTATGAATAGCATAACACTTCACAGTGCCCTCTAGTCTACATGTTTCTGCCCTACAACATCCTATTTTGATCTCTGAAATTCTAAAACATATGATTCAGGGTTGTGATTCACCTGCAAAAAGACAGAATATCAACTTATGAAATAAAAGTGCTGTATCGGGATACCTATCGTATCGCACCCATAGTATCAGGATACGTATCATACCGCATCCATAGTATCAGAATATGTATCGCATCGTACCCATAGCATAAGGAAATGTATTATATCGCACCCATAGTATCAGGATATGTATCGTATCGCACCCATAGTATTAGGATAGGAATCGTATCGTAACCATCATATCAGGATATATATCGTATTGCACCCATAGTATCTGGATACATATTATGTCGCACCCATAGTATCAGGATATGTATCGTTACACCTGTAAATATAATGGATGATACCACATCACAACTTATCATGTTTCTGGACAAAAATGTAAAAAAAATATGTATTAAAGTGTAGCTGAAATTAGAGTAGCAGTTAGAATACAGATATCCTTGTATTGATGATCAAAACAAGCATCATTATCAAGATATTTTCAATTTTATCACATGGATGACAGATCTTCTCATCCTAATGCAAAAGTAGAATGATACAGACACATGTTTTTTGTTTCTATGACTATCAGGACTGACCATTCTTTAATATTCCCTTTGAAAAAAAGAGAGTTTTTTGCAATACAATTTTATTTTGGCCACCACCCTAACCTTATTTTCACCATGGCGTTAAAAAGGAACTGATAATTGACGTGTTACAAAAATTTAATTGAAATCATGTAGAATTTGAGAACAGGTGCAAAAAAAGCATCCTAAATTTTGTTATTACCTGCTTACATACTTTATGGCATGGACATAAAACAAATGATAAATAGATACACATCATCATCATCATGAAATGCAAGAAAGCTACAACATGGTACATACAGGGCTTCAGTCACCAAATTTAAGGCCTTTTTCAGGCCTTGTCAAGGCTCTTGCACACACATTTAAGGCCCCCAAAATGACAAACGCAACATATTTTTAACAGGTTTAAAACAGAACAGAGCTTTGTAATCCTTGAACAGATTAGATTAAACAAACAAAAACAAATGTTTATCAACATTTCGCATTCCGACCATTCAAGCAGGTAACAGTGTTTTTTTCGTGGAAATAAGACTACAATAATTATTTTAAAAGCGAAACTGAATATAGAGTTGACTGTGTATGACCAATTCAGGCCTTTTCAAGGTATTTTGTCTGAATCCCAGGCCTTTTCAAGCTAATTTGGCATCTAAGGCCTTTTAAGGCAAATGTCTAAATTCCAGGCCTTTTCAAGGCCTGTGCGAGCCGTGTACAAGATGGAGCGGACGTAAGAGAAGATGTCACTGTTAAAGCATCTGCCCACCTTGAGTATCCCCTGCAGAACCTCCTTTGACCTCTGGACTAGAGTGACCCGGGTCTGTCTGCTTGACGAATCGGCTGTGAATTTCTGAGCTGCCACATAAAAACCAGACTGGGCCACGTCCAGGGTTTCACACGCTGAGGCCATATCTTGCTGAAACTCCTGTTATAAACAATATCAGAGAACTGAATGAGTCATATGTACGCCACTTCAAACAGTACTTCAATATCTTGTGGAAGAAAGTGAGTGAGTGAGTGAGTGAGTTTGGTTTTACGCCGCTTTTAGCAATATTCCAGCAATATCACGGCGGGGGACACCAGAAATGGGCTTCACACATTGTACCCATGTCGGGAATCGAACCCGGGTCTTCGGCGTGACGAGCGAACGCTTTAACCACTAGGCTACCCGACCGCCCCTGTGGAAGAAAGACCAAAACATGTAAAGTGATGGGATTTGTGGTCAAAGACGTTTGCTTTGGTGAGCAAGAACGGGTATGGTGCTGACAAACCAAGAATCATAAGCTATTGGAGCTATTCAGAATGACAGAAATAGAACTACTGCATTTCAAGTCATTTTATAATCAATTTCAGGTCCTATATTTCAATATGAGTATGTCAGTTTGTAAGCAAAAATGAAAGTTTAATTTAATAAAGCATTTAATAATACAGAAAAAATATTAATACAAGATACAATTTTTAAAAAGGCTTATTATCTGTGGATATACATAGTAAGTGGTGCTAAACTTATTTCCACGTGTATATATAAACAAATAAATGATTCTTCATTTTCTTACAGCTTCTTGTGCATTTTGAGCCTGTTGCTTGGCAACGCCAATGAAACCTTCAACTGCTGCACTGACACATTTTGCACAAGTCGAGATATCTCCTGGAGTTGTCTCCCTTCCATCAAGGTGAGTGTCGGATGCCTCGTTAAGTATGATAAGGAGAGATACCTGCAATAGGTGTAACAACATAAGAGACTCTTGTAATAAAACCAATGAGTACGTCATGCTGTGCAACAATGAATAGATCTGTTACACATTCTGAACAGTTAAAATGACTACTAGTTGTTTGTTTTGTTTGGTTGTCATTTAACACTGAACTCAGCAATATTCCACCTGATATGGGGGCGGTCCGTAAATAATCGAGTCTGGACCAGACAATCCTAGTGATTGACATCATGAGCATCGATCCACCAATTGGGATACGAGGACATATAATAAACCAAGTCATGGAGTCTGACCACCCAATCCATTTCGTAGCAGTAGAAAATGTTTATCATGTTTATTGCAATTATAAAAAAGAAACTCAAAAAAACCTTTTTTCCTCTCCTTTTTGTCTTACTTATATTTCATAAAAACATGCCCAAAAACCATTACAACAGTTAATTATTTTAATGATGGAGTGAACATTGAGTGGTAGTATCAGTGTAAGGCATCAGCAGCAGAACAGAAGCTAAGGTTGAAGTAAATTTGAAGGTTGCATAGTTTTTAATAAAAGAGAATTGGATACAGAAACATGTGTTTATCAATGTTAATGACAGCCATCAACATGCTCCATGCATGGGGGATTGTTAATAGGGTTGTCATTATTTGGAAATATTTGTATTGATATATCGACTCAAAATAAATTATAAAATTAATGATTCTGTATCTGTATATACATCTGTAGATCTGCAATCACCAGAGCTCGAGATATATCAAATGCTTGCGTATCAAATATGCAACAAAAACTATAAATATGCTATTAAAATAAAATCAAAGTGTATATTACAACTATTCGATAAAACAATTGCGTAAATTACAACTGTTAGATAAGACTATTGATAGATGCAAATTGAAAAGCACATCGTACCTAGTCAATGTACATGTTATATCTTAATTAGTCGCTCATTGGTGATTAAAGAAATAAACAAATTCTTAAAAGATGTCTTCCTGGAGTGGGAGCTGCAAGCAGACACAGACAGGCATACTACAAATCACATAGTTTTAAATGATTTATAGAGATTGTTACATAACAGGTTTTAAGTTAAATACCCAAATGTGAAGAGAAGGGTGGATAAAAAAAATTGAATACCCTCCAAAACTTGTGGATACCCAATCAAAATCAAACCCCTGGGTAAAATACCCAAATAACTAAAAGCGTATCTACAGCTCTGAATCACTTTAATGCTAACTAGTTGTTAGCAAGTGATGATTAGACAATTTCAAAAGTTGATGTGTCAAACTTTCATCCATGGAGAACCGCCTCCGTGGTAGAGCGTCCGCCCGGAGAGCAGAAGGTCCGGAGTTCGATCCCCGGCCGCGTCATACCAAAAGACGTTAAAAGATGGTACTTGTTGTTACCCTGTCTGGCGCTCGGCATTAAGGGGCTAAAACAAGGACTGGTGGGCTCGGAGTCAGTATACTGTGTCTGAGTGGGGTATTCATGTTAAACTGTGGCATGGTATCTCAGTGAGCTAGCACTATAAATCGGCATCAGTCCGGACTAGTACAAGCAGCCACACAAACACACACACGTACATGCACGTCGCTATATAAGTGCAATAATCTTGGACGCGACGTTAAACCCCATTTCACCATAATGTTAAAAATCACGGAAGTATTGATAATGTAGTATTTGATGCTAGGACATATTTAGCATAACATTCACACACAGTGCCCTCTAACCAATACCATCTGGCCCTTAGATATCCCATCTTTCATCTGAAAGTTAATCACAAATGATTCAGGGTTACGATGCACCATTTAAAAGAAAGAATATCCACTTGAGAAATAAAAGTACTTAATAAGGATACGAATCGTATTGCACAGGGTCTATAACATGTATAATATTGGGATACGTACTGTATCCGAGTTGGAATAGGTCTTCAGCAACCCATGCTTGCCGTGAAAGGGGACTATATGCTTGTTGTAAGAGGCAACTAATGGGATCAGGTGGTCAGGCTTGCTAACTTGGTTGATGCATATCATTGTACATGTTGTATCCCAATTGCGTGGATCAATGCTCATGATGTCAATCACTAGATTGTCAAATCCAGACTTGATTATTTACAGACTGTCGTCATATAGCTGAAATATTGCTAGGTCCGACGTTAAACAAACAAACAAAAATATGTTTTAGAACTGCATGGCATAACAGAAAATTCAACTGAAATTATATATATTACACAACGATGTTTATGTTTCAATATGTTGCAGATACCACTCACTGATTTTTATGTAATTTGCTATAAATCCATATGCAACATCCATTATCATGATTATATTTTTCATACGTAGTCCTACTCGACAACTACGCTCGATAATTATTCTCTTGAAATCAAAATGTTTCACTTCAGTTTATTCTTGAAGGTAATGATTTGATAGTGAGTAAATCAACTGCGTTTCACAATTGTTACTCTGATATATCATGCACTGCTCGGGCTGTGGTTTGATGTCTGCCGAAGAATGAGTTGTATGTTGAATCAATATTATCAATGAATGATTAATACAGAGAAACGTAGGGCAGTCGTGTCCTTATTTACAATGACGATCCTCGCAGTGTTTCCTTACCTGTGATGCAATCGGGGCCAGCACTCTTTCAACTGACTTGGTTCTTACGAGATTCGATATCAATCCGTACGTGACATCCATTATTTTTCATGTGTACATTATTTTGGTTCAACAGGTGTCCGTCGCATCTGAAGACACCGCGTAAATAACATCAGTTTATAAAAAATGAAACGGGAGTTCTTAAACGAAATGAGTTACGTCGGAGAACATTTGTGTAAAGTATTCGAGTCATTATTATGAGAGATATGATACACATAGTAGTATAGTATTATTTATGCGATGAATATTTGATCAGATATCACATGCGTCCTGAAATAAACAAATTATGAAATAAATACTCTGTTTTCGTTTTAGAGATTTTCGCCACGACGGACGGTAACTCTGCGGGAACATAACATAACAAATTTAGAGTTATCGACACATTCACCAAGCTCCTTCCCAGCGCGTGACACCACTGATGTAAGGAGCTTGGATCATTCACATGACTTGAAAATGGCGTTTTCCTCTGCTTGTCACTGAGTAATACTTCGTGTTTTATCAATGTATTTGCAGAGGAAACTTACTGAAAGATTGCATCGAAAGCATGTTTGTATTGATACGTGAAAGAAGAACAACATGAATTCAAAATGGTTGCTCGTCGTTTATACGGGTAAGTAGATAGGCAGTCATTGATTATGCCTAGACTTCGATCAGATGGGAGGCAAAAGTTTACCCTTTTTACATTTTACAGAAAAAAGCTTGAAAACTACTACTGTTTGCTATCCCAGTGGTTATTTACCATAATTACACTTACAACTTGTCCAATATTGCTGAAAACGCCAGGCACATACAGCTGAACATATTGAAAGTTATCGGATGTACAACTATTACGAGGACGGTGAATTTAGAATCTGGCCAAGGATTTCCGATTAGGTTATGAACATGCTGAGTGTCATATTTATCTTCGTTTCACCGGGACTCTACACGTTTAGGAAGAAATTTGCAATGGGTGTTGTCCCTAGGACTTTGACTCTGAGGATTCATAATTATGTTTGCAGCTGATTGACGGTTTTGTTTCTAAATGACAAACGTTGTAAATATATTCTATATACATATATGCAATCATAGTTATGCATATGTCCAAGGTTATTGTAGGTATTAGCCTGATATAGCCCAGGATGACAGAAAAACACTCAATGATTGTGATAATAAATAATCAGCTGATGATTCTGCCCTACATGTTTTGGGACTCCCCTTTTGTATGTTAACAGAGGCTAATATCTTCATGCAATGCCAAATTTCCTTGAAAAGTTAAAATCAGATGGATACTGTACTTGTGATATGTATCTCAGTGAAAAATGTATATCTTAAATCTGTAATGAGAAAATTATGAAACCTACAAATGACAAACACATAAACAGTGAAGAAAAAACATCTTTTTTTAATATAAAATGATTATCATGATTGACAATGTTGATATATATATGGCGCCATGCTCAGGGCTAGCCTTGATTATTAGAAGGAATAACAATCATGTCATCCAGAGATTCCAAGTCAACATCAACATGATCAAATATTAATTAAACCTCCCAAATTGGAATTGGAAATTCCCACAAACAGGTTAATATTTGAATGGCTATTGTTTTTGGCCGATAACAGGGCTAATAAAAAGGAAAAGACTTTGATATTATGATACGGGTAGTTTTACATTATTGTATTTTTAACATGTTTAATGTGATGTTTTAATACCTCTGAATTTGAGAAAATAAGAACTTTGGCAAACTCACAATCAATGATTTTATTCCCAGTTTGCCTGTTAATCACAGATAAATCTCTCTAATCATTATATCATGTGGTGACAGCTATCGTGGACATGACCTACCTTTCACTTGAATTGGTTATATTTGTTGCTTACATTTGCAGTGGCCAACATCACTGAGGTTGTTATTAAGTTGCTTTACTCTGAAAGTTCCTGTGAACATGCTTGCTAATTTTACAAAAGGAAACAGCTGTAACACATAGTAGCAACAGAATGTCTAAGCTTGATGTCAGAATAACTTATGTTTTTTCACAGGTTGGCATTTCCCTCGAAACATCTTATGTCAGAGTTTTCAGTTTAAAGCTTTACTTGTTGTTGGTATGACATGGATAAAATAACATTGCATACATTGTGGAATGTGTAAAATGACCTTTGATCTTGACATTGTGAATAATTAAAAGACAATTAATGCTTTTTATGACCAACATCTGGTCCTATTCCACACAATGATCAGATGATGAATCCCCTGAGTAGACAACTGAAGACATCTTCAATGTGGTTTCTAATAAGGCATAAGTTGACTAATAAGGCATAAGGTGACTAATAAGGCGTAAGGTGACTAATAAGGCGTAAGGTGACTAATAAGGCGTACAGTGACTAATAAGGCATAAGGTGACTAATAAGGCATAAGGTGACTAATAAGGCATAAGGTGACTAATTAGACATTAGATGACTAATAAGGCATAAGTTGACATAAAATGTGGACATGATAATCAAACGTATGAGCAGACACAAAAAGCTGTGTATAGTGGTTACCAAACCTGAGCCGGAAGCAGGCAGATTGGGCGCCAGGTGGATTGTCGAAATTACACAGTGCATCAAACACTGGGTGCCTGTTTTAACTCCAGTCATAGATCTTTTTATGTGGGGGAAGATGTCGCCTGTCATTTTTTATCGTCTCTTTTATGCTATTTTAATTGTTTCACGATTTAATTTTGGTCAAGCATTTGTGACTAAGTCTGCCCTAAAGTATTAAAATCTGTATAGTTGCTATGTTAAGTTTACTTGCCACGAAACATGGGCAACCGACTGTGACCACAAACAGAGGGCAGTTTTTCTGTGCAATCAAGCATGAGATTTTGGAGGACATCTCCAACAGACACCATATGTGGTCTGACAAAACCTCACTTGTATTGTTCTGAAAATTTAAAACATAGAATAAAAGAATGCTATGATTATTTTAGATTTACATTTAGCAGGTGCAGTTGCTATTATCTTGGTTATTTATTCCAGGAACACTGTTGCTGTGTGCCCACGTGTGTGTGAGTGTGGTGTTCCCCGGCCTGACCTTCACAGACCAGGTCAACTGTACAAGCCACATTGTTCCAAACTGCACCCAGTGTCCACCTGGACAGTTTGCCAACCAAAGTAGGGAATATGTTGTTGTCATATGTGTAGTAATTTACTTATTATTTCGCCCTGTCATAGAATTCAGTTCATTCAGTGACTATGCAATTGTTTCACTATGAGGTTTCCCAATGGGGTTTTTCGGTCTGGTATTTCTTTAGTGTTATAGGAGTGACGTTTTACTCACCCAGTCATTATAACTGTTCAATGACTATCTTATGTTCACAATTCTTTAATGATGTAACGACACAGTATTTTTTTCGTATTACGAGGCCCAAATACATCGATTTATGAGCTCCGTATCTCAATACATATAAATTTCCCTCCAAGTTATGATGGCGTAAACACATGTGAATCATAAGAGAAACTGTTCAGCAACCAGCTTACGCAGATTCTCTAGTATTTCATGGTTGGACATAAACAGCATAACATTCACAGTGCCCTCTTGCATGTCTAGCCAATATGTTCCTGCCCTTCAATATCCCATCCTTGAACTCTGAAATGTAATAACAAAATGATTCACATGCAAAAAGAAAGAATATCAACTTCACTCTCCTACCCAGAGTTCCATGCGACCAGCATAGTAGCTCTGCCACAGCCACCGCCATGTGATGATTCGTCACATCTTAGTATTCTTACACAGTTCATTCAAGATATTGCAAATGTTTTTCGTCTGTTTCATTTGGACAAGTCTACATATCTAGATAAACATATGTCATAGAATGATTAACTTTCATGGAGAAAATATCCTAAATCGTGAAAAACTATTTCCATTTGCGTAGTTAGTCAATGTTGACATTGGTTGTATGGCTCCACATGCTGTCATCGAAGCCCTCCAGAGAGCTAGTGATATGTAACTTTGATGTGTAAATATGTTTTGTCAAGCAACCTTTGTCGCAATTGTAGTAGCATATTTATATAATCATGCGAAACAATATGTAAAGCCCCAACAAATACTTGCATTAGTCCGTTCTATTCTGATGTCTGAAAAAGTGTGTTTGTTTACAAACAAGAGAAGAGTCCGGTCACGTGTTATGCAAATTAGTCTGTGGCAGTGGTGTTATGCCAAGTCACCACTGCGCAGGAGTGTGTATCAACTTGTGAAATAAAAGTACTGTATCGGGATACGAATCATATCACACCCATTGTATCGGGATATGTATCATATCATGACCCCACTGTATCGTTACACCTCTACATTTCTTCCAACAAAACTCACGTCAATCCTCACAAGATCGTTTACTTTTATCGTAGATAGGAATGCAGACATTGTTCTTCTTTATAGTAGATAGATCCATATAGCCAATTTAGAAAACAAGCAAGACTGAAGACTGTAAGTTTATATCAAAGTTCAGTTCTTATTTCATAGAGTTTACAGTTGTTGTACATGTTGAAGCCTCACTTGTGTCAGATTGGCTGCAATAAATACGAAAATAGGGAAAATATAGCATGGCATAATGCTATTTTACATTGCAATACTATTACAATATTATGTATCAAACTTCACCAATAAAGATATATTTTACAAAGTCTACATCTTTGAAATTCTTGAGAACCGAAACATGTCAGTCAGGTCATATAACCAATATTTTTATAAATAAGCTTTTATTGTTAAATAATAAGTTTGAAAAGCCCTCGCAAAACAACCTGTTGCGAAATCTATTTTTAAAACCTCGTGCAAAGTGAGCGAGTTTTGAATGCGGCAAACAGCCTGTGAAAATACAGACTAAATAACGTGACTGAATACTATCATGACTATAGAAAGTGCTGCTGATAAGTTAATTATATTAACACAAAATGCTTCCAAGCAAAGACTGCTAATAAAGTAATTCATACCGTTTGTAGACCATCTGTTCTTCCAAAAGAATAACAACCAACATGGCCATGATGGCAGGCAGGCAGGCGACATACATGTTTACATGCAGGGATAGCAGACAGTTTATTAAATCTAATTTAATGTTTTTACAAATCTTTTTTAGTTTTTGTGTTTTGTGTTGTCCAATATTAGAAACAATGTGTGAATGATATATTATTTGGATTAATGAAAACGCTTTATATATTCACAGCATGTTCAGTGTTCCCGTTTACCAGTAATTACCAGTTTTTTACCGGTAAAATTAAGCTTGGACCGGCAATTCATGTGACTACCAGGCCCTGTGGACCGGCAATTAAAGTACCTCATAAATATTAAATCAGTGATATTCATATAACTATATTTTTCCTCTGGCTACTTTTCGTGCAAGGAAATAACATTTTGCTTTGCTTTGAGGTTAAATATATACTTTTAGTGATTTAGTTTCGAAACAAAAGAGGAAATTGTGACTGAACTAAGTTACTTCAGAGATGAGTCATTGCATTGAACATGATGTTGAAAGAATTAAAACCAGGCAATTTTTTCATTCATTTATTTATCTGTTGAAAGTTGGGACTGACAAAACTTAGGTGGGACTGGAAATTTTTAGAGATGCCAGTCCTGGTGGACTGGCAGCTTCAAAATCCAGCGGGAACACTGATCTTGTAAATGACAAGTCTTGTATGACAGAAATTTGTTTGTCCAAAAAGATTAATGAACATAATGAATGTGAAAAAGTAGTTCCGGCTATGCATGATTAACCAATGAAATTAGAGGTGAGTTATAATACAACCTCGCATCTTCCTTCCCATATAGGTAATAAATAGCTGTAACAATGGGGTCAGTGTAGTACGCCAATCAATCATGTTCAGATGGAAGTAGTCATGGCTATGAGATATTGGTCTGTAGGTTGCTCATGACACTGGATCGAGGGTTGAATCACAGAGTTGCCCTGATTATATTTCTGGGTTTGTCAGCACCATAGTGGTAATTGTCTGAGACCTGCATCAGTTCAGGATTTTCTCCCACATTAAACTGACACACAGTGATATAACTGAATATTGTTCAAAGCATCATCAGACTCAAATAACCACCTCAACTGTCATGTCCCTAGTTCCAGATACTGGTCAATAGCATCATAATGACCTTCCTTTTTTCATACGTATAGTTTAAACAACTAATGTAGATAAAATTGTAATCTCATATTTCCTAGAAACATGATAATGGCTCCAGGTGGTGAGACACAATGTTTGAAATAATTTTAAACCCAACAAGACAATCTGGCAACTGACCCATAGATGTTGCCTCCTCATCTTCAAAGTTACCTGCCCACAGTCAGACATTATAAAAATTGAAAAATCGCAAAATAATAAGAGACAAATCTTGTCTTGATACAGTTGAAATAAAGCTAACAGTTACTTGAGAATCTACGAGGAGTTATTATAAGACTGAATTTGTAAGTTGGCTTAAAACTATCTGCCAGACAGCCAGGCAAGTAGAGGAAAATTTCATACAGCCCAACAGGCAGATATTTAGGACACTGGTGGGTTATATAGATATTTGATTTCATGTCGGTAGCGCAGCCAATTTTGTTGTATCAAGACAAGCACCCCGATGGGTAGGTGTGTCTGGAGGTAACTATGGTAACAGACTGGAGGTAACTATGGTAACAGACTGGAGGTAACTATGGTAACAGACTGGAGGTAACTATGGTAACAGAGTGGAGGTAACTATGGTAACAGACAGTTTGTTGTTGTTGCAGGTGTTTGGGAGTGTAAGTGTTGCCGGGAAGGCAATGGCAACTGCTTCGGTTCGTCCTGTAGCAAGTGTTCAGCGGGGGAGTTCCAGAAGAACCCAGGGCAGATCAGCTGCAACAAGTGCCTTGAAGGATTCTATCAAAAGTGAGCCTACTCATAGTCTATTTGTACATTAGAAAACCAAGGATGCAACTTGGACGTAGCCTGCTAGCCAGAGTCATTTGGTCTAATGTCAGAGGCATCCAAATGCTACTAGAATTTTAGCCCTGTGAAGTTCCGGGTCAGAATAGGTCTTCAGCAACCCATTCTTGCCGGACACTATGCTTGTTTTAATAGGCGACTAATGGGTTCCGGTGGTCAGGCTTGCTGACTTGGTTGATGCATGTCATCGTATCCCAATTGCATAGACCAATGCTCATGATGTCAATCACTGGATTGTCTGGTTCACATTCAATTATACCACCATCATATTGCTGGAATGGAGTGTGGCGTTAAACAACAAAATAAGGGTTTTCCAATGATTCCAAGCTGTTGTGACAGATTTATGATTGTGACTGTTGTTTTCAGCCAGGAAGGCCACACACAGTGTGAGGCGTGTAACCCCGGGACATTCAGCAATGAGACGGGACTGTCAGACTGCTTCAACTGCCCTGAGGGTAGGAGCGGAATTCATTTGTGTGAATTACTGTACCACAATGCCGAAACAATTCGCATGTGCATTGCTATATTAAACTGAACATTGTGTTACATGCACCACTCTTTATCAGCATGGTGAGTGCTCATTGTTATAGCAGATCAACAGATGGTGTGCCAGCTGCATGAGACATGCTGGTGTGTTGTGTTTACATCATGCCCAATATGTAATCTGATCTTGTATTGATGTTGTAACGAACACCATCAACAAATATGTTGTGATCTAATTATGCAATGTCAAAAAGGGAGACATTCAGCTTTTTTTTTTATCAATTGTCATATGAAGGAACAATATGCTGTATGGTAATTGTACAAATTATAAAGCTGATGTTTGTGTATCAGTTTAACACTAGGAACCTACCGGCATTCAATGATTATACCATGTGTACATGCTGGTCTAATTTGGGAGATATCACAATAAATGAAATTATAACAACTTTGCCTGATTTTTTGACATTGTTGAATTATGTTCTTCATTCTCTAATTTTAATGTTAGATTACCATAGTTACTAGAATGGAGCTTTATGTTTCTCCACTTAATCTGGTTGTATTGGTGTAAATGTGCACCCACTTGATGCATTGTCCGTGTGGCTGCAGTGAGAGATCTGTTTGAGCATGTGTGTGTTGTTTGTTTGCCTTGTCCACTGTCAGGATGACCTAATATTTCTAGAATATTTCATGAAAAAGAGCTTCAAATAAAAAATGTGGTTGAACAGCTTTTTTGTTCCCAGATCAGCATGTCTGTCCGTCAGTAATCATTTATGATTATGAATATTTTATAGTGAGGTCCGATGTACCTATCAAAATTGATATGACACATAAGTGTACTACTTCTATCTTCTTCTGTTAATGGATGATGTTTTTGTCAATGGTGTCCAGGCACTGCTAACAACCAGACAAAGATGACAGGCTGTCCCTCGTGTACTCCAGGATACTACCAGGGCCAGACAGGCCAGACACAGTGTCTGCCGTGTGATGAGGGGACCTACTGTGGGTATGTAGCCGACATTGTACTCTCATTCTGGCTTGGTGGGGCTTCAGGGGTTTCAGTATCGTAGTCTTGACTTCAGAGTGATTGTGTGAGTATGGTTTAGTGCCACTTTCAATATTCCAGCAATATTATTGGATGTCAATTTACACTTGTCAGAGGGGTACTCAAAGTACGTGATCTAGACTACCAGTTGTGGGACTTTCGTTTTGTGGAAGCCTCAGTGGCTGAGTGGGTTAGATCACTGACTTTGTGTGCTGGCGATTAGGTGCCTGACTCTGGCAAGTGTGGGTTCGAATCCTGGACAGGAGACTACCCCAACATGTCCGATTAGCAGCCTACAAGCTGGAGATGATTCTTCTCTTGAGGAATTCCACTCCGTCCCATAGACTGGATGTCTTCAGTCGACATGGGGTGATTAGTTGGCCTTGTTGTTAAAGTGTTCGCCTATGATGCTGAAGGTTTGATTCCCAATTTTTGTCTTGTCCTGGTTTTGCTGGCATATAACTACACACATTCACTTCAGCCAATCAAAACTTGTTAAGGGTATAAAGTTGTGTCAATGTATCCGGTTTACATTTGTGTTAACATGACTGATATTTTTTATAGAAATATGACCATGATGACATTGTAAAAGATAAAATCAGAAAGAAGTGGAAAGTCACTTTTATTGTCATTGAACGGACAAAACCCTTTTACTACTTTCTTCAGATGAAAATAATTCTCTCGTCTTCACCTCCCTTTATCGGCTTGTCGACCAGTCACTTGTATGCGGACGGTTCGCGCAGTTTCGAAGAAAGTAAACATGTTTCAACGCGATGGCAAATGGGTGTGCATTGGTGTGCGTGAAATAATTCATATATTTTGTAATTCTACGATGAATAAGCTTTTAGAAAATACTACATGTTAGTTTCTGAAAAATATGTACATAGGAGAAAATCGCTGTCAAAAACAGAACATTTTGCTCAAATTTTGCACATTTTTGTTATATTATTTTCACAAATAACACTTGTAGAGACATTTTTGTCCAACATGCAGAAATCCATGGTCCACTGACAGACTGTCACGCATACGAGTGACCCCTCTCAGGTGGTCACTTGTACGAGAGACGGGAGACCTGTCTTGCGTACACGTTACATCCCCTACTGTTCACCATATAGCCTTACATGTCCATTTATGATCCGCAATCACCTTGTTTCAGATCCCCCAGCTGTACAAATTGCAGTGAGTGTGAAGCAGGTGAGAAATGTTGTCACTCAGTTGCATGTAATTAATTAAGAAAGTCCAAAAAGTGTATTTAGACCTCTTGGGAAAGTTGGTTCCCAGATCCCATTGAAATGTAGATCAGGTGGTCGTAATGCAATTCTCGACTGGGATCTGTATGAATAGTAGACATGTGTGACCTCCATGTCAGACACCTCTCCACTGGGATATCTACATGATCTATGGATTGTACATGTACATGTGTGACCTCCATGGGAGACAACTCTCCACTGGGATATCTTTGGATGGTACATGTACATGTGTGACGTCCATTGGAGACAACTCTCCACTGGGATATCTTTGGTTGGTACATGTACATGTGTGACCTCCATTGGAGACAACTCTCCACTGGGATATCTTTGGATGGTACATGTACATGTGTGACCTCCATGGGAGACAACTCTCCACTGGGATATCTATGGATGGTACATGTACATGTATGACCTCCATGGGAGACAACTCTCCACTGGGATATCTATGGATGGTACATGTACATGTGTGAAGTCCATGGGAGACAACTCTCCACTGGGATATCTATGGATGGTACATGTACTTGTGTGACCTCCATGGGAGACAACTCTCCACTGGGATCTCTATGGATGGTACATGTACATGTGTGACCTCCATGGGAGACAACTCTCCACTGGGATATCTATGGATGGTACATGTACATGTGTGACGTCCATGGGAGACAACTCTCCACTGGGATATCTATGGATTGTAGAAGTACATGTGTGACCTCCATGGGAGACAACTCTCCACTGGGATCTCTATGGATGGTACATGTACATGTGTGACCTCCATGGGAGACAACTCTCCACTGGGATCTCTATGGATGGTACATGTACATGTGTGACCTCCATGGGGGACAACTCTCCACTGGGATATCTATGGATTGTAGAAGTACATGTGTGACCTCCATGGGAGACAACTCTCCACTGGGATATCTATGGATGGTACATGTACATGTGTGACCTCCATGGGAGACAACTCTCCACTGGGATCTCTATGGATGGTACATGTACATGTATGACCTCCATGGGAGACAACTCTCCACTGGGATATCTATGGATTGTACATGTACATGTGTGACCTCCATGGGGGACAACTCTCCACTGGGATATCTATGGATTGTAGAAGTACATGTGTGACCTCCATGGGAGACAACTCTCCACTGGGATATCTATGGATGGTACATGTACATGTGTGACCTCCATGGGAGACAACTCTCGACTGGGATCTCTATGGATGGTACATGTACATGTATGACCTCCATGGGAGACAACTCTCCCTGGGATATCTATGGATTGTACATGTACATGTGTGACCTCCATGGGAGACAACTCTCCACTGGGATATCTATGGATGGTACATGTACATGTGTGACCTCCATGGGAGACAACTCTCCACTGGGATCTCTATGGATGGTTCATGTATGACCTCCATGGGAGACAACTCTCCACTGGGATCTCTATGGATGGTACATGTACATGTGTGACCTCCATGGGAGACAACTCTCCACTGGGATCTCTATGGATGGTACATGTACATGTGTGACCTCCATGGGAGACAACTCTCGACTCGGATATCTATGGATGGTACATGTACATGTGTGACCTCCATGGGAGACAACTCTCCACTGGGATATCTATGGATGGTATATGTACATGTGTGACCTCCATGGGAGACAACTCTCCACTGGGATCTCTTTGGATGGTACATGTACATGTGTGACCTCCATGGGAGACAACTCTCCACTGGGATATCTATGGATGGTACATGTACATGTGTGACCTCCATGGGAGACAACTCTCCACTGGGATCTCTATGGATGGTATATGTTCATGTGTGACCTCCATGGGAAACAACTCCCCACTGGGATCTCTATGGATGGTACATGTACATGTGTGACCTCCATGGGAGACAACTCTCCACTGGGATCTCTATGGATGGTACATGTACATGTGTGACCTCCATGGGAGACAACTCTCCACTGGGATCTCTATGGATGGTTCATGTATGACCTCCATGGGAGACAACTCTCCACTGGGATATCTATGGATTGTAGAAGTACATGTGTGACCTCCATGGGAGACAACTCTCCACTGGGATATCTATGGATGGTACATGTACATGTGTGACCTCCATGGGAGACAACTCTCCACTGGGATCTCTATGGATGGTTCATGTATGACCTCCATGGGGGACAACTCTCCACTGGGATATCTATGGATTGTACATGTACATGTGTGACCTCCATGGGAGACAACTCTCCACTGGGATCTCTATGGATGGTACATGTACATGTGTGACCTCCATGGGAGACAACTCTCCACTGGGATCTCTATGGATTGTACATGTACATGTGTGACCTCCATGGGAGACAACTCTTCACTGGGATATCTATGGATGGTACATGTACATGTGTGACCTCCATGGGAGACAACTCTCGACTGGGATATCTATGGATTGTACATGTATGACCTCCATTGGAGACAACTCTCCACTGGGATCTCTTTGGATGGTATATGTACATGTGTGACCTCCATGGGAGACAACTCTCCACTGGGATCTCTATGGATGGTACATGTGCATGTGTGACCTCCATGGGAGACAACTCTCCACTGGGATATCTATGGATTGTACATGTACATTTGTGACCTCTATGGGAGACAACTCTCCACTGGGATCACTTTGGATGGTATATGTATGTGAGTGACCTAAATGGGAGACAACTTTCCTGAGATCTCTATGTTATGTTACCACTTTTTGTGATACCCACAAGAACAGGCATGGTGCTGACAAACTTAGAAACATAATCGGGGCAAACCAGGATTCAAACCCATGATAAGTATGAATAGTACATGTATGTGTGACGTGTCTCAATTACTGACTGACTGTCATGATATAACTGGTATATTGCTGACTAACTAAAGACACCACTCACACACTGTCTCTATTGCAGGCTCCCATGCTGACAAACCCGGCACCACTAACTGCACCCTGTGTATGATCGGGATGTTCCAGAACATGACAGGCCAGCTGGATTGTGACGAATGCTCGCCAGGATCTCACTGCAAGTAAGGAACAAACCCAGCTCTGGCTGGGCATACTGTACAACTCTCAGTGTACAAGGGAGAATTCACTCTGTAAACTATATATATGGTACTACTGGAATGGGGGCGGTCGGGTAGCCTAGTGGTTAAAGCGTCTGCTCGTCACGCTGAAGAACCGGGTTCGATTCCCGACATGGGTATAACGTGTGAAGCCCATTTCTGGTGTTCCCCCCCCGTGATATTGCTGGAATATTGCTAAAAGCGGCGTAAGACCATACTCACTCACTCACTACTGGAAGTGTATCAGGTGTGGTGTCGTCCCACAGCCTGCTGCTGGAGTTACCCTCTTTGGTCATGTGGACAAGGCATCCAACCTCGGACCGTACGGTTCAAATCCCTCAAAGGATCTTAGAAATTTCATGGCTACTAGACAGTTTATTCTTTGTTTGTGTGTTGTTTAACTCCGCACTCCGCAATATCCCAGCTTTATGACAGCTGTTTGTAAATAATTGAGTCTGGACCAGACAATCCTGTGATTGACATCATGATCATCTGTCTATGAAACTGGGATACAATGACATGCATCAACCAAGTCAGTGAGTCTGACCACTCCATCCTGTTTGTCACTTTTTCGGACAAGTAATCCTGTAGATGCCTCTCAGGACATGCAGTGGTTGCTGATAACCTATCCTAACCCGGGTCTTGCTGGGCACTGATGATGTGTCTAACAATAACATTGATATTTATTGCAGTAAAACAGGCTGCACCCAGTGTGATGTGTGCCAGGCAGGGACATATGCCAATGCTACAAGGACGACCAACTGTGTCAAGTGTCCCCAAGGTATATTGTCTTTTACAATCAACCAATTTTCTTATAGGGCTGGGACGATACACCCAGTTAAGAATAAAATCGTTTAGCTTAGTGCGCTTTTGATTGGTACTTGTATCGAGAAGTAAAAATGGTGATCCATCTATGCATCGGTGTATCGTTCCACTACTATTTCCTTGTAAAGTTGATTTTTATATACCAGTGGCTGATGGTGGTCTTTAGATTCAAGAGAGTCATCTCATTAAAATCAGATCTTTCAATCTGATTCAATACCTCTCTGCGTGAAGACTTGAGGACACCTCCCCAGAAGTTGTGTCAGGTGAACTATCTCCTCAGCCGATCCGTGTCAAGGCTCTAGCTTCTTTGTATGGGTTACCAACGCTTTCAGACAAGAATATCCAAATTCTGTATCTAAAACATTAAGAAAATCATTGACAGGTCTTTGAAAGGCATTTAGAAGTGATTCACATCAGGAAGAGAATATATGGATGTCAACTTCTTTATTATAAGGAACACAACGATTCGGTGTATATGCTCCTGATGAAGGAGTAAGCATATACTCCGAAAGGTTTCTTAAATCATTGATGTCTGAATGACATAACAGCCACACTGTTATAGTGTTTTGGATATGTTAAACATTCTGTTGTTACTGAGCATGTTGACTTCTACACCCACAAGGGTGTACTATGGAGGGGATATTTGTGCATCTACACCCACAAGGGTGTACTATGGAGGGGATATTTGTGCATCTACACCCACAAGGGTGTACTATGGAGGGGATATTTGTGCATCTACACCCACAAGGGTGTACTATGGAGGGGATATTTGTGCATCTACACCCACAAGGGTGTACTATGGAGGGGATATTTGTGCATCTACACCCACAAGGGTGTACTATGGAGGGGATATTTGTGCATCTACACCCACAAGGGTGTACTATGGAGGGGATATTTGTGCATCTACACCCACAAGGGTATACTATGGAGGGGATATTTGTGCATCTACACCCACAAGGGTGTACTATGGAGGGGATATTTGTGCATCTACACCCACAAGGGTGTACTATGGAGGGGATATTTGTGCATCTACACCCACAAGGGTATACTATGGAGGGGATATTTGTGCATCTACACTCACAAGGGTGTACTATGGAGGGGATATTTGTGTTCCGTGGTTGTTTTCTCTAAGATTGAAATTTCCGAAAATCAAGGTGGTTGAGAAATGAAGCCAAAAGCTGTCATTTGATGGCAAAGAACCCACGCATCCCTTATGTTGTTTGGGCGTTCACAGTTCTCTCAAGGTTCACCTTCCTGGAAGTGAGTGAGTGAATGAGTTGGGTTTTCAGCCGCTTTAAAAGTATTTCAGTTATATCATGGCTTGTCAGCTTAATGTGGGAGGAAAGCCCGAGGTGATGCAGGTCTCAGATATTTACCACTTCGTTGAAACCCACGAGCACGGGTATGGTGCTGACAAACCTAGAAACATAATAGGGGCGAACCGGGATTCGAACCCACAATCATCGGGACGCAACTCTGCACAGCAAATCGCGGCGCCTTAGACGACTGGGCCACCCGTGCCCCCTTCAGGGAAGTGTTGTCAGATCTTCAAGCAGAGAGGCATTGTATTGTGTGGGTGTAAAACTTTGTTTAGGCACGTTTCCACTTAGGATCAAAAGAAGAATGACAAATGCATAGTGTGAGATAGTACAAGTTTAAAAATCTAATTTTAATGAGATTGCTGAAAATAGTACTTAAATATGGGTCACCACCATATTGCAACTCTCAGTTTTTCTCTGAGTATTAAGTGTGTCATCATACTCTACTGCAAGGAAGAAATCTCACTATTATTAGATGGTCCACTGGCCTGATAACATCGTACGTCACAGGTTCCTTTAACACCAAGGGGCGGTCGGGTAGCCTAGTGGTTAAAGCGTTCGCTCGTTACGCCGAAGACCCTGGTTCGATTCCCGACATGGGTAATATGTGTGAAGCACATTTCTGGTGTCCCCCGCCGTGATATTGCTAAAAGCGGCGTAAAACCATACTCACTCACTCACCTTTCACACAAACAGGGCAGTTTGTGCCAGCGTGTTTCTCAGTAAAGCTTTAAACAACACAAAAAAATGTATTAATGAAGCTGGCCTCGAATTGGCCGGTTCCCTGACAGCTTTGCCAGGTTAGCAGTAGGTCATTTTGGGGATTTGTTTTCAAATTAAAAATATATCTGATCCTGCACCTGTATTTCCCATAGAAGAAATCTGTTTAGCTTATACTCGTTTAAAAATGTCTGGAGTTGATGATTACTGATGCTAATTTCCTTATATACTTACCTGCTTGTGGTATGGAAGGACTGAGTAGACGATGTGTTGGAGACGTGTAGGTGATGATATGGAAACACTATGTCTGTTTTAGGATCCTTTCAGGCCGAGACAGGATCGTTCTCATGCAATCCTTGTATCGCAGGATTCGAAGCAAGGTAAGTTCGTTACATAGCAGTACAAACTGCAGAGAGGGATTATCACAATCTTGCTTGAGTTCACAGTAACCTGTCTGTTGATAAGTCCTGAAACAATATGTTGGAATGCACACATCAACTTGGCAAAATCATTTGCATATATTTCTATCATTGTGTGAACATTTAAAAGAAACATATTCCATGAGCTTCCACAAGTTATTTTCTCTGACCTCATATAGAAACATATACATATTTGAACATAAGAGAGTGCTGTATTGACACTGTGCCTTGATATGTATGGTATGACGTATGTATCGCTAACTGAACTTTACAGGAACAAAGGCAGAAGCAACTGCACTGGCTGTCGACCCGGATCCTACAAGAACGACACAGGCTTTGACCTCTGTCAGCTCTGTGCCGAAGGTGAGATTCAGTATTGAGTAGTCAATCCTACAAGAACGACACAGGCTTTGACCTCTGTCAGCTCTGTGCCGAAGGTGAGATTCAGTATTGAGTAGTCAATCCTACAAGAACGACACAGGCTTTGACCTCTGTCAGCTCTGTGCCGAAGGTGAGATTCAGTATTGAGTAGTCAATCCTACAAGAACGACACAGGCTTTGACCTCTGTCAGCTCTGTGCCGAAGGTGAGATTCAGTATTGAGTAGTCAATCCTACAAGAACGACACAGGCTTTGACCTCTGTCAGCTCTGTGCCGAAGGTGAGATTCAGTATTGAGTAGTCAATCCTACAAGAACGACACAGGCTTTGACCTCTGTCAGCTCTGTGCCGAAGGTGAGATTCAGTATTGAGTAGTCAATCCTACAAGAACGACACAGGCTTTGACCTCTGTCAGCTCTGTGCCGAAGGTGAGATTCAGTATTGAGTAGTCAATCCTACAAGAACGACACAGGCTTTGACCTCTGTCAGCTCTGTGCCGAACGTGAGATTCAGTATTGAGTAGTCAATCCTACAGGAAAGACACAGGCTTTGACCTCTGTCAGCTCTGTGCCGAAGGTGAGATTCAGTATTGAGTAGTCAATCCTACAAGAACGACACAGGCTTTGACCTCTGTCAGCTCTGTGCCGAAGGTGAGATTCAGTATTGAGTAGTCAATCCTACAAGAACGACACAGGCTTTGACCTCTGTCAGCTCTGTGCCGAAGGTGAGATTCAGTATTGAGTAGTCAATCCTACAGGAAAGACACTGGCTTTGACCTCTGTCAGCTCTGTGCCGAAGGTGAGATTCAGTATTGAGTAGTCAATCCTACAGGAAAGACACTGGCTTTGACCTCTGTCAGCTCTGTGCCGAAGGTGAGATTCAGTATTGAGTAGTCAATCCTACAGGAAAGACACTGGCTTTGACCTCTGTCAGCTCTGTGCCGAAGGTGAGATTCAGTATTGAGTAGTCAATCCTACAGGAAAGACACTGGCTTTGACCTCTGTCAGCTCTGTGCCGAAGGTGAGATTCAGTATTGAGTAGTCAATCCTACAGGAAAGACACTGGCTTTGACCTCTGTCAGCTCTGTGCCGAAGGTGAGATTCAGTATTGAGTAGTCAATCCTACAGGAAAGACACTGGCTTTGACCTCTGTCAGCTCTGTGCCGAAGGTGAGATTCAGTATTGAGTAGTCAATCCTACAAGGACAACACTGGCCTTGATCTCTGTAAGCTCTGTGCCGAACGTGAGATTCAGTATTGAGTAGTCAAGCGGCATAAATCCATACTCTCTCACTATCAAAAGCAGAAACTGCAGCTTAGGATCAGTAGGAAGTGAAAAGGTGTGTTTTCACAAAATGTCAAGGCTGCTGGCAGATTTGATGTCAAGGGGTCAAGAGTTCCACAGTTTCCAGCATTCTAGCCAATGCTCTCTCTCATCAGTCAGTTCAAACATCAACTTACTTGCCACTGGTAACAACCATCAACTTCAGCTGGTGCCTAGCTATCAGACGAGACGGCCAACACGCTTATGCATTTCCACCTACAGCCACAAGTTCTGCAGAAACTGGTATCTACATGAGCATACAGCTTCTTTCGGTAGCACCTTAAGGCCCATTCAGACATGGTTTTTTTTCCATCTGCTCTGACTCATTGGAGCGCCAAACTAAGAACGGATGCATGCCCAGAATCATCAGCCATGCATGTGTGGTGCATTTACAATAGGCGCTGATATCCAGGGGTTTCTCGGAGGCGGCAACTCTTGCTGTTAATCGAGACGCACTGCTCCTCAACAAACACACGCTGTCGATGCCACTCAGATCAAGTTCGGACATAGTTCATGTGCAGATGTGACTGCCCACCCGTCCGTCCCCTCGTTTGGATCAGCTTGTCACATGTCTACAGTCCATTGTATGAAAAGAGTTACACTTGGAGCATGCTGGGAGTGAGGTGGTCCGAGGGTGTGTTCGGGTGAATGTTTCTAGAATGTCATTCACTGTTATATGATCAAAGCAAGAAGGAATATTGCATACTGCAGTGTCAGGATAAGTATATAGATAGGGGAATACTCTGATTCCCTATATTTGTGTGAATTCATTTCCTAATTGCTTTGTAATACTTACAAAAACTATGCTCAGTATTCATGGTATTTTATGATGTCTTTGGTAGGATTTGATCCAATATCTTTACACCAGTATGATGATACACGTATCACGCTATTGTTGCTGCAGTTAATTCTGAGCCAGGTATTTACTGGCCATTATGAACCTGCATTTAAACAGGAAGAACCAATGCAACTGGAGATCCTTATGCAAAATTAATGAGAAATTAATACTTGAACTTTCACATAGTTTAACTGGAGAAATCAGTCAAATCTGTTGATTTTGAAAGTAGAACAACACGCTCCTTCGGAGCACGTTGATTCAGCCTCTGTGATGAACATATTTTCAGTTTTTGTCTATTATGTAATACATTAGCACTATCTCGCTCATGCAAAATGTGACACACAAGTTTTGGCCCCACACTGTGTAATGTGTTGTAGGTAGTTTCACCAGTGTCCGCAACGCCACGGAGTGTGAGCTCTGTGATCCAGGAACGTTCCAGGAGGTAATAGGGGCCAAGAAGTGTGAGGACTGCCCGAAAGGCTACCACTGCAAGTGAGTTGAACCACTGACTTAAAGTAAGCCACACAACAGATCCCCTGAAGCATTCGTGGCCAACTGTCATTCCGGGACAAACTGAATAGCGACTCGTGCCCCACTAGTGACCATATTTTATGACTGAGTTCTGTCCAAGTGGAAACGCGCATCGCTAAAAGTATTGTCAACTTGTTACCTAATGATTCACATTCATTTCCCCAATATGTCATAAGTATTCCAGATGCTATTATTTGTAATTGTGTATGAAGAGACTAACAGGATCAGGTGGTCAGGCTGGCTGACTGGGTTGATGCATGGATTCTCATGATGTCAATCACTGGATTGTCTAGTCCAGACTTGGTAATTAACAGACTGCTGTCAAATAGCTGCAATATTGTTGAGTGCAGCGTTAAACAACAAAAAACAAACATAAAAAACCAGTAGGATTCATGTTTTCCTTTTTTCAGATACCCCGGTACATTATATTTGGATCTTAGTGTCACCTATCTGATTTTACCATTCCTCTTAAATAATCTCAAAATGCATTGACGACTAACGCACAGATTGATCATGGCTGATTATAGCATGTTGCGTTTTCAGTATCAGCGGCTGCCATGTGTGTTTTGAATGCCCCAGTGGCTATGAGGCCACGATGGAGAGGGCTATCAACTGTACACCTTGTCAACCTGGTAGGTTAATCAACATCGCTTTTCTATAATCTGGGCTCAAACTGTGAAATGCTCTAATTTTGGTAGGTGCTGTAATTCGCTGTTCAGAAACCATTTTAATGGATTTGAATACCGGTTCACCCTGATTATGTTTCTAGGGTTGTCAGCACCATACCCGTACTCGTGGGTTTCACCAAAGTGGTATACGTCTAAGACCTGAATCACTTCGTGATTCCCTCCCAACTGGATACTGTTCAAAGCGGCATTAAACCAAACACTCCAAGAGAATCTCACCCACCCTCTGGTACCCGTAGGGTAAAATGATAATTAATGTGAAGGCATAGCTTCAAGCCTATGGGGCAGACCATTTGATACTTGGGGGTGGTTGTGCTGGGGTTTTATCGAAAAAATTAATTGTCCTTGAAATTTCTTTAAAAATAATTATGCTTCATAATGTTGGGAAAAGATAGAAATTGTCTGCCACAAAAATTACATCTTTTCTATAAATTTTTTATTCCATTTTCCATCATATTTTACATTTCAATATCGTACACAGTGTGCATGGATTTATTGTGACATTATTGGCATGTTTGTAGCATGGACAGATCATATAACATAGTTATACAGAGATTCTAAATAATACATGTAGAGAATACCCTTGCATAATTACAATTTGAATATGCAATACGTTTTGTAATTTCATAATATCGAAGTATTTCTTTTTGAATTCCTAAAAAGATTGGTTTGACTTTTTTTCTATTAAATGTGAAAAAATGGCATTTTTTTTTAAAGAAATATTTTGGCTCATAGTTTTAATTGAAAAAATATCGGATCTCAATACAAAATCAAAGATTTCAGTGATCCATACTTGTTCCCCGTGAAAAACCTCCGCTAGAATTGGTCTTCTGAATTTCAGGCTCAACTGCCCCTGTGTAGATTCAGGTTAGAACCATGCTTGTTGAAGGAGGAGACTAACTGGAGCTAATGCGATCAAGTTACAAGACAGTTAGTTGAAATGTGTCTTCATTTCAGGTTCATTCAAACCTTTTGAGGATGGCGACATCTGTCGTGACTGCCCGGATGGGTGGTACAACACCTCCAGTGGAGCAGCAATGTGTACCGAGTGTCCAAAGGAGTACTTCTGCCCAGTAAGTTCATCACAGATGGATCTGTGTAAAATGGGGTACCCAGGTAGTTTGGGAGGTCATACACTAGCCTTTATCCTCCTGTCCCATTCTTGTTGGGCAGGACGCATCTTGGATATTGGGAGGTCTTGGCAGGACGCATCTTGGATATTGGGAGGTCTTGGCAGGACGCATCTTGGATATTGGGAGGTCTTGGCAGGACGCATCTTGGATATTGGGAGGTCTTGGCAGGATGCTCCTTGGATATTGGGTGGTCTTGGCAGGATGCTCCTTGGATATTGGGTGGTCTTGGCAGGATGCCCCTTTGATATTAGGTGATCTTGGGAAGGAATGACCTTTGATATTGGGTGGTCTTGGCAGGGTGCTCCTTGGATATTGGGTGGTCTTGGCAGGATGCCCCTTGGATATTGGGTGGTCTTGGGAAGGAATGACCTTGGATATTGGGTGATCTTGGCAGGATGCCTATTGGATATTGGGAGGTCTTGGCAGGATGCCTCTTGGATATTGGGTGGTCTTGGGAAGGAATGACCTTGGATATTGGGAGATGTTGGCAGGATGCCCCTTTGATATTGGGTGGTCTTGGCAGGATGCCCCTTGGATATTGGGTGGTCTTGGCAGGATGCCCCTTGGATATTGGGTGATCTTGCAGGATGCCCCTTTGATATTTGGTGGTCTTGGCAGGATGCCCCTTTGATATTGGGTGGTCTTGGGAAGGAATGACCCTTGATATTGGGTGGTCTTGGCAGGATGCCCCTTTGATATTGGGTGGTCTTGGGAAGGAATGACCTTGGATATTGGGTGGTCTTGGCAGGATGCCTCTTGGATATTGGGTGGTCTTGGCAGGATGCTCCTTGGATATTGGGTGGTCTTGGCAGGAAGCCCCTCTGATATTAGATGGTCGGGAAGGAATGGCCTTGGATATTGGGTGGTCTTGGGAAGGAATGACCTTGGATATTTGGTGATCTTGGCAGGATGCCCCTTGGATATTGGGAAGTCTTGGCAGGATGCCCCTTGGATATTGGGTGGTCTTGGCAGGATGCCCCTTGGATATTGGGTGGTCTTGGCAGGATCCCCCTTGGATATTGGGTGATCTTGAAGGATGCCCCTTGGATATTGGGTGATCTTGGCAGGATGCCCCTTTGATATTGTTTGGTCTTGGCAGGATGCCCCTTGGATATTGTTTGGTCTTGGCAGGATGCCTATTGGATATTGGGTGGTCTTGGCAGGATGCCCTTTGGATATTTGGTGGTCTTGGCAGCATGCACCTTGGATATTGGGAAGGAATGACCTTGGATATTGGGTGGTCTTGGCAGGATGCCCCTTGGATATTGGGTGGTCTTTGCAGGATGCCCCTTGGATATTGGGTGGTCTTGGCAGGATGCCCCTTGGATATTGGGTGGTCTTGGCAGGATGCCCCTTGGATATTTGGTGATCTTGCAGGATGCCCCTTGGATATTGGGTGATCTTGCAGGATGCCCGTTTGATATTGGGTGGTCTTGGCAGGATGCCCCTTGGATATTGGGTGGTCTTGGGAAGGAATGACCTTTGATATTGGGTGGTCTTGGCAGGATGCCCCTTGGATATTGGGTGGTCTTGGGAAGGAATGACCTTGGATATTGAGTGGTCTTGGCAGGATGCCTATTGGATATTGTTTGGTCTTGGCAGGATGCCTATTGGATATTTGGTGGTCTTAGCAGGATGCCCCTTAGATATTTGGTGGTCTTGGCAGCATGCGCCTTGGATATTGGGAAGGAATGACCTTGGATATTGGGTGATCTTGGCAGGATGCCCCTTGGATATTGGGTGGTCTTGGCAGGATGCCCCTTGGCTATTGGGTGGTCTTGGCAGGATGCCCCTTGGATATTGGGTGATCTTGCAGGATGCCCCTTGGATATTGGGTGGTCTTGGCAGGATGCCTATTGGATATTGTTTGGTCTTGGCAGGATGCCTATTGGATATTGGGTGGTCTTGGCAGGATGCCCCTTGGATATTGGGTGGTCTTGGCAGCATGCGCCTTGGATATTGGGAAGGAATGACCTTGGATATTAGGTGATCTAGGCAGGATGCCCCTTGGATATTGGGTGGTCTTGGCAGGATGCCCCTTGGATATTGGGTGGTCTTGGCAGGATGCCCCTTGGATATTGGGAGGTCTTGGTAGGGTGCCTCTTGTATATTTGGTGATCTAGGCACGATGCCCCTTGGATATTGGGAAGGAATGACCTTTGATATTGGATGGTCTTGGGAAGGAATGATCTTGGATATTGGGAGGTCTTGACTGGATGCCCCTTGGATATTGGGAGGTCATGCAGGATGCCCCTTGTATATTGGATGGTTTTCGGAAAAAATTAACTTGGTTTTTTGATGGTCTTGGGTATTCTTTATTTAATGTATATTTGTAACTTTGAAAGTGTGTACATTAAAACATTGTTTATCTCTTTCAGCAAAATGACCGTTTGCCAGTCCTTTGCCCCGAAAACACCTACTGTCCCCCGGGGAGCACCTCCCCCCACAGCTGCAACCCCCCTCTCTATGTGATAGATGACCATGGTACAAGCTGTAAACCAACAGGGGAGTTGCTAGCCATAATAGGTGGCTGTAGTGCAGGTAGGCATTGAAGGAAATAGGAATTTCACAGGTATGCATTGAGGTAAAAAGGAATTCCAAAGGTAGGCATTGAAGTAGAAAGGAATTCCACAGGTAGACATTGAAGTAAATATGAATTCCACATGTATGCATCGAAGTAAAAAGGAATTCCACAGGTTGGCATTGAAGTAACTAGGAATTCCACAGGTAGACATTGAAGTAAATAGGAATTCCACAGGTAGGCATTGAAGTAAATAGGAATTCCACAGGTAGGCATTGAAGGACATAGGAATTCCACAGGTAGACATTGAAGTAAAAAGGAATTTCATAGATATGCATTGAAGTAAAAAGGAATTCCACAGGTAGACATTGAAGGAAATAGGAGATTGTACCATATATATCCGCAGATAAGCCGAATTTTGAGGACCACAAAAAAGATTCTGTAGAAAGGGGTCGTCTTATCCACGGTATACACTTTCTCAATAGTAAGGAAGAGAATATATGGATGTCAACTTCTTTATTGTGAGGAACACAACATTTCGGAGTATTATGCTTACTCCTTCATCAGGTGAATGAATGCCATGAGGCAGAGAGCCTATATATGTTCATGTAAGGACAACAAAATTAATAAGATAATAAAAGGTGGAAAATAACAAAGGGTAGAAACTCACAAGGGAAGCCAACAGATGATTGACACTGATAGGTGATTAGCAATAGACAATTGAAGCCAACACTTTACAGTATTTAGCGCTGAAAGTGTGGAAGCCAGTACTTCAGTTATCATAGATAAGTAATAGGTAATGGACACAGGGCAAATGGGAGACTGGGGGTAATCAGCACTGGTAGGTATTTTCCAGATCGTGATCTGTCAGAAACATCGCCTGAATGACGCACCAAAAGATTACAACTTTCTGAAAGTTTGGAAGTTGCAACGACTACATCTAATTATTGTTATAAATTATCAATAAAGTTATTATTTTACACCAATTTTGTCATTATTTACAAAATTTATGCATGTTACTATTTCGATCATAAGTTTTCAATTGAATGTTCAAGATTTATGTATGTATGTATAAAACTCAATTATTAATAAATGTAAAAAGTAGTTTTTTTATTTTCGTATAGTCCATGATTGGCTCAAGAAAACACCTGGTCTTGTATATATGAATGTCTGATAATATCAGTACTGGTGATGTGTTCCAGCTGGTGTTGTGGTGGTTCTCATCGTGAGTGTGCAGTGCTACAGGCAGAAGAGACGGATGACCCTGACACCAACAGGAGAAAGTGAACCCCTAACAAAGTCCCCCCAACCAGTGTATCAGGGATTGTAGCAGGACAGGGGAGATAATTCACCAAACCCTTCACAAACTCTGTGCAACCATGTAGCAGGACAAGGGAGATAATTCTGCGTCCCCAATAACCTCCGTGCAAGCAGTGTATCAGGGCTTGTAGCAGGACAAGGGAGATAATTCTGCAAACCCCGATAACCTCCGTGCAAGCAGTGTATCAGGGCTTGTAGCAGGACAAGGGGAGATAATTCCCTGAACCTTTGACTAACTCTGTGCAACGAGTGTTATGGTGTGTAGCAGGACAGGGGAGATAATTCTGCAAACCCTGATAACCTCCGTGCAAGCAGTTTATCAAGGCTTGTAGCAGGACAGGGGAGATAATTCTGCAAATCATGATGACCTCCGTGCAAGCAGTGTATCAGGGCTTGTAGCAGGACAAGGGGAGATAATTCTATGACATACTCACAGACTCTTCACAGGCTTGACAGTTTACAGACAAGTGACGATGGCAAACTGTTGATCAGTGATAGGGACAGTAATTGTCCCTTCATAACTTGCTACTAGTTCAGCATGACAGGATTGAGATTAGGGCTGGGATGAGTCCAAATTAACTACCTGGGAACCCGACCCCCTATTCTCCGACCCTACCCGGATACACGCTATGGGTCTCAAGAGTTGGGTACAAAATGTCTGCTTGGGAATTGTTTAACCACAACCCTGGCAAAACATATTCATATATATGTAATAAGGCGATCTGGTCATGTATACACACAAGTTGACTGAATCTTTATCTTAACATATAAAAAAAGTCGAAAAGGGAAAAGCGAACATTAGTGACTCGTAGTGTAACCATGGAGTGTTAGTGAACTCTTGTCATTGAGCACTATACCACTGAGCACTAACCATGGGTCCGAGTAGTCCTGTGGGTACCCAGGTCCTACTCAGTACCCACCCGACCCAAATACCCAAGCTACCAATCCCAGCCCTAGTACTAGGTAGTCCTGTGGGTACCCAGGTCCTACTCAGTACCCACCCGACCCAAATACCCAAGCTACCCATCCCAGCCCTAGTACCAGGTAGTCCTGTGGGTACCCAGGTCCTACTCAGTACCCACCTGACCCGAGTACCCAAGCTACCAATCCCAGCCCTAGTACCAGGTAGTCCTGTGGGTACCCAGGTCCTACTCAGTACCCACCTGACCCGAGTACCCAAGCTACCCATCCCAGCCCTAGTACCAGGTAGTCCTGTGGGTACCTAGGTCCTACTCAGTACCCACCCGACCCAAATACCCAAGCTACCCATCCCAGCCCTAGTACCAGGTAGTCCTGTGGGTACCCAGGTCCTACTCAGTACCCACCTGACCCGAGTACCCAAGTTTCCCATCCTAGCCCTAATTGAGAGACATGGAGTGGATGAATATGTGGAGACTACTTCATGTATACAGAATACAGGAAGCCGGAAGACATTCCAGAATGAAATCGTGATTCAGTGCTTTGCTTCTGTTAATTGTTGACTTATACTTCTTATTAAAGCCTTGACAAGAATATCATTGCCACAAGTAGATTTCTAACTGAATATTGTGCAATTTTCATGTCATTTATATCCCTTTAATGTTATATCATCTCCAATACCTTGTATCTACCGATCTGATATATGATATGGGGTTAGACTGTTAAGATTCATGTGTATTTATAGCTGTGAGTTTTCTAGATGTTGTAAAAAACAACATTCCGTATTAATCCAAACCAACGTGTCACATATCACTGGCGCCAGATGTTCATGCTATGTTTCACACTTGATGATGAGATCGATGGTGATAACCATCATTAGTGCTGCATGGTTTCACCGTGTTCTTTCATCACCAGTCAATGTATACAACCGCTTTGCTGTGTGTTTGCTTTAATGGCAGCTGAAGCCATGGCCTGGATCCATTAAGGGGGAACCAGCAAATGCCCAGACCAATGGGCACTCCGATAACAACAGGGCGGTGGGGTAGCCTAGTGGTTAAAGCATTGGCTCGTCACCCTGAAGACCAGGGTTCGATTCCACAGATGGGTACAACGTGATTTCCGGTGTCCCTCGCTGTGTTTGTTTGTTTGTTTAACGCCACACTCCGCAATATTCGAGCTATTTGCAGTGGTCTGTACATAATCAAGTCTGGACCAGACAATCCAGTGATTGATATCATGAGCATTGATCCACACAATTGGGATCAATGACATGCATCAACCAAGTCAGCGAGTCTGACCACCCGATCCTGTTAATCGCCCCTCGCCATGATATTGCTGAAATATTGCTAAAAGTGGCGTAAAACCTCACTCACTCACTCACTCACATGACACAAGTTGCTGTACTTCTTGTTCAACATTTGCTACAGCCTTGCATCCACTACCCTCACCTCCATGAGTTACAAATGGCCCCATTTCACTGCTTGACTAATAATAACAATGATAATGCCAATGCTTATAATAATGCGCCAAATTCTATTCACTTAGTGAATGATAATATCACTACATTATTATTACCTTACTCAATGGATCAGTGTACACTCGATTTTCACTCTCAGCTCCTTTGGGAGTATACAACCCAAGCTGCTAGTAAGGTGCCGGAAGGTTAAGGGTCATCTCATTCTACCGGGTACCCTTTCACTGCTGGGTGACCAGAGGCATATTACCAATGAGGTCACATTCCTTAGGAGACACCACCTGCTCCAGGCACTTCATATATTGGCTGCATATATTCACAGGTGATGGAGGATTGTAGTAAGCACAAAATCGTGAAGTACTGACGATGGATGATAACAATTATGACTTGTTTGGAACAAAACACCTATTATACTACTGTTTTTGTTTGTGAGTTAGTGAGTATGGTTTTACGCTGCTTTTAGCAATATTCCAGCAATATCACGGCAGGGAACACCAGAAATGGGCTTCACACATTGTACCCATGTCGGGAATCAAACCCGGGTCTTCAGCGTGACAAGTGAACGCTTTAACCACAAGGCTACCCGACCGCCCTGTTTTTGTTTGTGCATGTTTGAGATGTAAACCTCAGCTTATAGCTTCATCGTCACAAAGAAATAAAATGGAATTGCAAGTGGATTTATCAAAGTGATATTACCGCACTATTACAGTGGACCAAGATCACACCTGACTGGTCACTGGGTTTATTTGCAAAATGGGACGTTTGTGAACTTGCAGAATTAGGGGTTACTCATTTCTCAAAGATCAGCCCATTATAACAAGATTGTGAATGACTATTGTGCTTAACAATAATTTAAGCAGTTTTTACACTGAAAATTTAGATGATGTTGATTTTTTAAGATTTGAAATATTGATGGTGGCTATATATTTTCTGTGAGAAAAATTGTGCTACTCTGAGATGAGAATATGTACTTTATGTGATTACGAAAAAAAATCACATGGAAACATTGTTTACATAATATGCTACTCAAAAGAAGTGAAAGAACATCTGTTTGTTTTTTTATGGCTGCAGCTGATCCATCATGTCACGACATATTAACTACAGTCAAATGACAAAGAAAAAAATGGGTGGTCTCTAAATTCTTTTGTGCAGTATGTATATTGTTGCTTGTCTCCAGGGCCCCGTTCCACAAAGCGATCTTAGCGCTAAGGTGATTGTAACTCCTATTCTTCAACACTGACTTACGACAGTCGTAGCGCTAAGATTGCTTTGTGGAACGGGGCCCAGGTTGAAAAGCTTGAGTTCATGTTTGATGTTTGAAAATCAAGAAAATTCTGTTTTGCCTTGAATTAATATAAAATATGATTTTATGCTATTGGCATAATGTTTGGTGTTAGATTTGACCTTTTATTCCACTGTAGTGCTACTTATAAATATGCCTGATCTCAGTCGTGCTGGTGACTTGTTGTTGTTGAGATCAGCATCACTATAATCTCAGGGAATGCCCTGACCATCAAAACGTTTTTTTATCAAAATGTTATGTGGAGGACAACTGTAAAATAATCTTTCTTGTTTGGTTCATAAGAGTGTTGAGTTCACCCACTATCAAAACCTTTGATGAAAAGTTTGGTCAAAAAAACCTTTTACCAAGGATCCACAGAAGGGCTGGGACGAGTCCAAATTTACCACCCGGGTACCCACCACCCTATTACCCGACCCTACCCAGGTACCTGTTGAAGATATTTAGAAATAGGTACAAACTGTCCAATTTGGAAACGTTTGACTGTAGCCCTGGCAAAATGTATTTAGAAACACATGTAAAACGATCTGGTCATGCATACACTAAAATTTACTTCATGAAGTTTTATCTTTATTCAAACAAATAAAAGTCAGAAGGAATGGGTGCATTGTCAGAAAGAAATGTGTACATTAGTGACTTGTAGTGTAACCATAGTGTTTTTGATTATTTTTGTCATTAAACAGTATATATCATGTGACTAACCACAGGTCTGGGTAGTCATGTGGGTACCCGAGTCCAACTCAGGACCCACACGACTTGAGTACCCGAGTTACCCGTCCCAGCCCTCATCCAAAGGCTTCATCTAACTCTTCCATTCCACAGCTTTCCACGATGATAAACGACTGATCCTCATGTCAGAGAATTGTGAACCCTTTTACAGGACGAGTGAGTGATGACAAGGGACACAACTCCTATCAGACAGCTTGCACAAACTGTCATTCTTAGGTCTGTTTCTGTTAAAGTTAACTTTATGGTTTGGGCTAAATCATGATGTCATGATCCAGGATACTCCAAGTTCACACGGTCCTTACAATATTAAGGATGCAAATATTTTTGGCTGTCATATTGTATCTTAATAATAATGTTGATTGTTGAGTTTACCCTGTTATGATGAATGTATGCTACTCAAAACAAGTTAAGGACCACCTGATTCTTTCATATTAGATATTTCTGTCATGCCATGAGAGTAATATGAAAGAATCAAGTGGTCCTTAACTTCTTTTGAGTAGTATTAGACAAACATGATGAAGCTGTCACCAAAGTCCAGTTTGTAGAACATGTTCACTATCTACACACAGTAAGAAGCAACCTGTTTCAATAATCCCAGATACCCGTGCTCGTGGGTTTCACCGAAGTGGTAAATGTCTGAGACCTGCATCACTTCGGGCTTTCCTCCCACATTAAGCTGACACGCCGCGATATAACTGTAATAATGTTAAAAGCGGTGTTAAACCCAACTCACTCACTCACTCACTCAATAATCCCAGAAATGTATTTTTGTGGTGTGTATATGGCACGTTATATCATGTGTTGTGTATATTGCACACAGATTACCCATGAGTTTTTACATCAAATAATTGGTATTAATTCTGTGATTAATCATGCCATAAACAGAAAATGTAACATTTACTTGCACTTTTGTAAATGAGGTTTGAGGTGTTTAATCATGGTATAGGGTGAATATTTAAAAACGACTCTTTGTGTATTGGCACACCTCGGCTGTGGACATTGAATATTTGACCAGGTGAGCTTCAATGATGTATATTTTGTGATTAATGCTTAGTGCTTACAGCCTGATTGAAGTATTTTCTGTCATATGTTTGAAGGCATGCTTTTGCTTTGTAGAGGAAATGATGAATCATGAAACCCATTTTTGGTCCTTGGTACATTCTAGTCATCTAATTCAATGTGCAGAGTTGTGGCCCTTAGATGAGTTAGGATTTGCTGACCATAGGTGAGGTGTCAAATCAGTAGAAATGATAAGTCTTTTCATGTTGATGTGTTTTAAAGACACCCATCATGCGTATAAACAAAACCTTTATAATCCGGATGTCCCAAGATAGTCAAACATTTACCTGGACACTTTGATAATTTAACCAGGATATTGGTTTAGGTTCTGGAACATTACATTGTTGTTAAAAAATGAGAGATTTCTTATGAGATATTTGATTTAACCAGCCAGTTTATTCAATAAAACCTTATTACCCTTGACCCTGGAATTCTGGAAAGCCATTTTGGGGGGTGATTTCTGCTACAGACATAAAAAACATTATACAAAGGACATTAGACTGTACCCAT